TATAAAAATTATATATTATAAAATATTATATATTACTTATAAAATAAATACTTATATATGCATATATTATTTAATATATAAGATATATATTGTATAGTATGTATGCACATATTATATATAAAATATATATTGTATATAATCATATAATTATATTAATTTTGAATGAAGGCTGTCAGTAAAATTTTTATTTTTTCTGAATTGATCCTTAGAATAACCATGAAAATAAGACCTAACTCTCATAAAGAATTTCCTTATATCAGGCACTGTGCTAAGAGCTTTGCAAATGTTAGTTCATTTAATCCTCAAAACAACCCTAGAAGACAGTGCCACCAATATTATTTACCATTTAGCAAGTGAGGAGATGGGCCTTGGAAAACATAAGTAACTCGCCAAGGTTACACCAGTAGCGGACTATTGACTTGGCCTTTGAGCTTAGGCAGTCTGACTTCAGACCACACAAGATCCTAATTAAGGCACCTAATTCCCCTTCAAAAAAGATTGCTCAGCACTGAAATAATCATCTCATGTAATTGTCACAAAAATTTCATGAGGATGACTCATAGTCCTCATTTGACAGATGAACAACAGACTAAGTTTGCACAGTGGGCTTCGGGCAAGACCAGGGCATGCAATGTGTTTACCTATGCTCATTCTGTGTCACTAGTCACTGATCTCCAGAAATAATCTGGGTATGATCCAGAGACTGTTCAAGGCGGGGAGTAACTTGTACAGGTGGGGAGCAGGGGGGAGGGAAAAGAAAATATCAGCACTCATTTTTCTCTTTATTTTAAAAATGAGAAAAAAATCGGCTTTTTCAGTATTTAGTACATAGACTGGCACCTGTCCTTCACTGAGCCATAACTTAGCACTTAAGATGTGGAAAGGGTCCTGAGGAAAGAGTGGGCAGTCCTCAACGGAGAATTTTTCCTCTCAGTGCAGATGATGAATGCCCAGTCAAGAGGTTTTACAGATTCAATATTTTTTATTTTGAATAATACTTACAGAATAGACAGTAGTGTACAAAGATTCCTGTGAGAAACAAAACAAAACAGCAGACTGAATCAGATACTAATAATTCAGGCACAAATATACAAGAAAATGGCACAGCTGACACTTTTCCTAGATTTATTACTAGTTTTTTGTTAGCAACATCACACAATTTTTTTAAAAGTCTATTTAAACAATACTGGAAATAAGTTGGCCAAAATATTTGAAATTATCAAAAGAATAGCTGGACTATGGATTTTCATTCACCATTGTAGTGATGAATCCTGAGAAGTGAATATTGTGCAAAAAATGATAACACGAAGCTGTCACAGTTAGCAAGACATTATAAAATATCATCTATTTCATCTTTAAAATGGTTCTTTTGTAATTTCTATTTTTGGTGTACATTTTATAATATATTCAATACATTAATAGAGTAGTAGAAGATTATAGTTCATTAGTAATATACACACATATTCAGTAATTTTCTATTCATAGAAGACCTTGATCAAAATGGTTTGGAGAGGGCGCCTGGCTGGCTCAGTTGGTTAAGCGACTGCCTTCAGCTCAGGTCATGATCCTGGAGTCCCAGGATCGAGTCTGGCATCAGGCTCCCTGCTCAGCAGGGAGTCTGCTTCTCCCTCTGACCCTCTTCCCTCTCGTGCTCTCTATCTCTCATTCTCTCTCTTTCAAATAAATAAATAAAATCTTTAAAAAAAATGGTTTGGAGAATCCTGCACTATTTTTCCTACCTCTAATGGTACTTATCTCTATAATAAAGCTCCAAACATTTCCCAGCTCTAGTATCCTATAATTTTAATTTCTTGTCAAGTATATTGAGTTTTTAATAATGGGTCTGAATGAAGAATGGGAGAAAAACCCAAAATTCTATCTCATTCTACAGGTTATTGTAACACAGAGTAACACAGGAAATTATTTTCTTTTGAGAGTTAATACACTCAGAACATGGCTTGACAAATGGTAAGTGCTCAGTACATGTTAACTGATGGTTAAGTGACATGTTACCACTTACCACTTGTTGTGTTATGGCTGCCTATTATCCCATTTCATCTTTTTTGCTTGTTTAATAACACCCTAAATTTCCCATGTAAGCCATCCTTCCCCAGTGCACAGTCATAAAGTTCAGGAAAGAGCGTGTTATCCATGCCTAAGTCAAGTGGGCATTCTACCAACCTGCCCATGTGACTCAACACAGGTCAGTGAGAAGCTGGAATTCTACTGCATTTGCATTTGGAAGGTTGTAGGGCTGCAGTGGCTGGCAGATGTTGTGATACCACATGGATCCTGATCTCAGAGCTAATGAAGAAAAGAAGGGCGGAAGAATGGAAAAAGACTCCAACCAACATGACAGTAAAATTACTACCATGTAATTTCTTTATTATTCAATATTACTTACGCTTAAGGGCAAGTGTATCCTCAAGACTTCTCTTCATAAATGAGCCAAAATTGACTAACATTAAGCTCTTTAAAAAAGTAAGTTTTTTTCCCTCTGAGATTCAGGTCATTATTTGAAGTGGCAATAGTCTTTCAGTCCTGGCAAGATAATTCTGGGACATAAAGTCTTTCATTGGCCTGGAGAAGGAAGGGAGTTTTGGTGTGATTTGGTTGGATATTATATCTCTTATTACTCACATAAACAGTAACTATAAGCTTCTACATTGCTCTCCAAGGGGAAGAAAGGGTAAGGAAATCATATTTCAAACTAAATCTGAACCAAAAAACAACCAAAAAGCTAAGGCACAAGCAGAACAATAGAGAAATCAAGCATAGTCTTTTATATTTTCAAATGTTCGGAACTCTATTAACTAGAATGTTCTACTAATCTGCATATGTGCAGAACCAGGTGCAGTAATTACTACTTTATGTAATAACAGTCCTGAACCACTACTGTAAGACCCCAACATGTTATCAGGCTTACTTTGGTTCTGATGGCTTCGGTTTAAACATTCCTGACTTCATATCCTAATAATATATTCATACAAAGTGGTATCTGCTCTTTGATATTTCCAGCATAGCCATAGGGGAAAAAGAATCAAAATGGAAAGAGTCAAAGGACTAGGGTAGGCAGATGGGATTGATGAGTGTGAAGAAATAGCACAGAACTCTTGGGTGTATGCAACCTATTTAGACACAGCCTGAGATGATGACAGTGGTGGTTTTTTTTTTTTTTTTTTTTTTTTCTGGAGGACAAAGATACACAAAGAGTTACCAGGTGCTGGTAGAAGAGGTGTGAAGCAAGCTGTGAAAATAGCACATTTACAGGGGGCTGTTGTGATGTGCAATCTTAATTAAGCACATTTTCTGCCTTTATGAAGTAAGAGCCAGATCCACTGTTATTATCACAGTTGAACAATCTTTTGGAAAACCTAGAACAAGTGAAATACATCTAAGTCATTTATGATCAAAACAAAGCCATCTCATTAAAAGAATGCTTATTTTCTCTAGTGGGGTTTCCTTTTCTTTGTCAATATTTGTTATTCCAATCAGGTAATTAAGTGATGGTAGTAGTATTCCTGAGTAAATACATTGTGTTAACTTTACCAGTTAGGTGGTAATTAATGTTCCACATAAATAAATCAGTTTCATACTCCAATTGCGAAGTATAGTTATGTCTATCAGCACTTACCATGTTATGTTGTAATTATTTGTTACGTTTCTCTTTCTCTCTCTCCTACTGGACCATGAATACCTTGAGGCATACACTTTTTCATTATAAGAAGAAACACTTACAGGGTGTTTAATTATGTGCCAGATTCTGTTTTAAGTGTCAGATCAGTTATTTAGTTTAAACTTCACAAAGCTTAATAACATGGGTACTGTTAGTATTTTCATTTTAGCAATAAGGAAATTTGAACTCAGGGACGTTAATTTGCTTGAGTTCACAAAGAAAGCAAAAACTAGTAGACCTAAGAAATGAACTCAAGCAGCTTGATCTGAGTGATCTTGCTCTTAATCCTTTTGCTGTTCAGCTATGAAGGCTCTGGGTTGATTACAACCAAGAATGTTACATGAGTCAATATTCACGGCTCGGCTCGCACCGCAGCGCATCGGAGCCCTGCTTAGGCGCCCGCTTAGAGTGCAGGGAGCTGGGTCAGGCAGTCGCTGGGGCACCCGTGCCTGGAAAGTGCCGGAGCGCTCTGGAGAAGCCTGGACAGCCCCGCTCCCCAGCAGCCAGGTGCGAGGGGGCGGGAGCGAAAGTGAGAGTCCGGGCGTCCTCGAGCGCCTGGGCCACGGCGGCGGCCCTAGGAGCAGAGGTAGAGCAACCCCCTTACGCTAAAGATGAAAGGCTGGGGCTGTCTGGCCCTGCTTCTGGGGGCCCCGCTGGGAACTGCCTGGGCCCGGAGGAGCCAGCATCTACACTGTGGAGCTTGCAGAGCTCTGGTGGATGAACTAGAGTGGGAAATAGCCCGGGTGGATCCCAAGAAGACCATTCAGATGGGCTCCTTCCGAATTAATCCGGATGGCAGCCAGTCAGTGGTGGAGGTGCCTTATGCTCGCTCAGAGGCCCACCTTACAGAGCTGCTAGAGGAGGTATGTGACCGGATGAAAGAGTATGGGGAACAGATTGACCCTTCCACCCACTGCAAGAACTACGTACGTGTAGTGGGCCGGAGTGGAGAATCCAGTGAACTGGACCTACAGGGCATCCGGATTGATATAGACATCAGTGGTACTCTCAAGTTTGTGTGTAAGAGCATTGTGAAGGAATATGAGGACGAACTCATTGAATTCTTTTCACGAGAGGCTGACAATGTTAAAGACAAACTTTGTAGTAAGCGAACAGATCTATGTGACCATGCCCTGCAAATATAGCATGATGAGCTATGAACCACTGGAGCAGCCCAGACTGACAGGCTAGATGGATCATCCCCAGGAGGGGAAGAGGGTGGCAATGCCTTTTATATTATGTTTTTACTGAAATGAACTGAAAAACTGTGAAACCAAAAAAAAAAAAAGTCTGTACTGAGAATGTTCACCAAACCTCTTATGTTTGTTAACTCATTTATTTTTATAACCATATAAAGTAAATACTAATATTATACTTATTTTATAGGACAGGAAAAGAGATGTGACAGAGCAAGGATTTTCAGCCACTTTCCATTGTATGACATGCTACTATCACATGATTAGAACCTATAAAAAGTTGGTCCTATCTCTGAAACAGCAGGACTATAAAGGGTCTCTGGGGTATTTAAGGAAGGGGCCCTCAGTGAGTTTTTTCTCCTAAGTAATTGAACATGAACTGTGCTCTTGCCATCAGTTATCACATCTAATCGTCACTAGACCCCAATGGGAAAGACATCCGCCTCTGCATTTACAGTTGAGGCTCAGAGGGAGTTGAGTTGAGCACTGTTTAGCTGAGTTTCTTGGCAAATAAGTGAAAGAGGGAAATGGTTGTGATATTCATTGCCTGATAAAAGGAAGTACATCTGAAAAAAAATTTTTTTGGTCCCTGGATTCAAAAAGCATACCTTTAAAATAAATATTTTCTCTCCCAATCCTTATCAGGTTTAGGGATAGTTCAGAGGTGTGACAATTCAGAAATACTTGAGACTTAGCTCTTAACTGGTTTTCTAATTCTGACTCCAAGGCTTCCGAGGTCCCTCTCTTCATGGATCCTGGGCAACTCAAATACTTTGTCATCTGTTACTCTTCTTCTAAAGTCATTTTGTAGTCTTATTGCTAGGTGTCATTCATTCATTCATTCAATAATTATTAACTGAGCATCAGCCATATAAGAGGGAATGCACCAGGTGCTGGGGATTAAAAAAAAAAGTGAACAAGCATAATGCTGTTCTTTGGGAATTTATAGCTTGACACTAGCCAATAGATGGGCAGAAGGACATTTGTGTAACATTTTTCTGCCTCACCCAAGTTCTACTTGTATTTTGTGCTCAAATCCAAGCATTGCTTGTTTATATTTCAATGAGCAGAAACAAGAGAAAACTATCTTTACCTCCCCAGCACCTAGCACAGTGTCCAGCACATAGTAGGCACTTGATAAATGTTTGCTGAGGAAGCAGAGTGGCTTGGTAGGAAGGGAGAGAGAATCAGAAGGGAAGAAGGACAAAACAGACTGGAAGGACTGAAGAAGATGGCAGAAAAGGAAGGCATCTGGGCATTCTGGTTAGGTGAAAGCTGGAGAGTAAGAATCTCCCAGTCTGACTGGAGTATAAAATCATCTCAAGGAAAGTGAAAAATGGGAGAAAAACATGGAAAGATAGCTTGAGCCAGCTTCTGGACTCTCTTAATGAAAGACTGAGGAATTTGTTTTTAACTTAGCAGAAGCTGAGGAACTACTGAAAGTTTATAAGCAGGCTTATAAAATGATTGAAATTCTGCTTTGGGAAAATTAATCTTAAGCTTTGTAAGCAAAGACATCTGTTTTGTCAGTGATGCATCCCAAGCCCCCAGCAGAGTGCCTAGCACATACTAAGCACTTCATAAATTTGCTGTGGAATGAATAGAAGATGCATATGCTCTAGAAAGTAGCCATGGAGTTAGGAAGGTTGGCAATTTCTCCTGATAATATATTTTACCAAATCCTTGCTCAGACACAGGGCTACTTCCAATACCTCTGCATTGGATAGGTAAAATTGTCATGGTCTTCCTCATTCAAAGAAAGAACTTAAAAATATATGTGGGATGGTCAGGAGGCAAAGGAAATATAAATTTAAGAAATATAATTCTGTTTAATTTATATTACCCTGGAAGATTTTGACACTACTTATAAATTCTTCACTTGAAGTTTTCAGAAAGATTCAAGTGAAACACAAAACATTTCTCTTAAAGGGCAAAGTTTATTTTCAGAAAGAACTCTATAAACTTGGGCCTAGAATCTAATGGATTCTCACACAGGAATGGGTGTGAGTGCCAACAGACCTGACTCTTGGTTTTCTTCAATCCTTTGATCATGTCCTGTGATCACTGTCCTGTGACTTTATTCCAAGTAATTTTGTTTTGACAACTTTCCGTGTTCTAACACAGGGACTTCATTAGCTGGACTAGTTTAGTGATTCACTTTTTTCCCCTCTACTTCAACAAGTATCACAAGTGATGTCCAAATTTGGGACATATTCCCATGGAAGTATCAGTGCTTATGTACAATTCTCAAAGTATAACTTAAGATGTCACCTGTTTTTTTTCTCTTTCAGGAAAGCCTATATGCAGTGAACTAAATGTGTTTCCCCCAAATTCATCTGTTGAAGCCTGAATCCCTAAGATTAGGAGGATTAAGAGGTGAGCCTTTTGGAGGATAATTAGACCGTGAAGGTGGAGCCTCCGTGGATAGAATTAGTACCCTTACAAGGAAAGACAGAAGAAATACCATCTCTCTCTGAGCCATGTTAGGATATAGCTAAAAGCCATCTACAAGCCACGAGGTGGACCTTCACTAGGCATTGAATCTGCTGGCTCCTTGATTTTGAACTTCCCAGCAAACAAAACCATGAGAAATAAGTCATTGTTACGCCTCTCAGTGTACAGCGTTTGTTAGGGCAGCTAGAGGTAAGACACATTTACTAATGAATTTTGGGAATAACATTATAGGCATAAACTTGAATAATTTCTAATTATAAAAAATTCCTCTAAAATTTGGTAATTTTTTACTAGTAACAAATTACAACACACTGATGTGAGGAAAATGTGATGAGAACGGTTAATCTAACTCACATAATGTATTAGTCCTGGGTTCTTTAGAGAATCAGAAGTAATAGGTTATATACAGATTTACAGAAATAGATTTATTATGAGGGACATTATGGGGCTCACATGATTATGGAGGCTGAGAAGCTCCTTGATCTGCCATCTTCAAGGTAGAGGCCCAGGAAAGTCGTTGGTATAGTTCTAGTCCAGACCCAAAGACCTGAGAACTAGAGGAGCCAATGGAGTAGATCCCAGTTGGCCTGAGGACCAGGAGCACCAATATCCAAGTGTAGGAGAATATGGATGTCCCAACTCAAGCATAGAGCAGATTCATTCCTCCTCCTCCTTCTTGTTCTATTCTGGCTCTCAGTGGATTGAATAATGCCCACCAACATTGGTGAACGTGAGTTACTTTACTTAGTCTACTGATTCAAATGCGAATCTCTTCCAGAAACACCCGCACGGGCAAACCCAGAAATAATGTTTTACCAGCTGTCTGGGCATCCCTTAGTGTCAGGTTGACACATAAAATTAACCATCACATATAAAAATTAAGATACGTGAAGATTTAAAAATTCCAGTATAAAAATGGTATCATAATATTTTCAATTTTATTGATCTTTTCAAAAGCCATTTTTAGGGCTTTATTAACTTTTCAATTTCTACTTCATTTCTTTTTGCTTTCATCTTTGCTATTTCCTTTTTTTTTTAAACTTCCTTTGGCTTTAATTTGTTCTTGCTTTTAAAAAAACAGATTTCATTTTTATTTTTTTAGAGTAGTTTTATGGTCACAGCAAAACTGAGCAGAAGATACAGAGATTTCCCATATATGCCATGCCCCCACATATGAATAGCCTCCCCAGTATCAGCATCCCCACCAGAGTGATATCTTTGTTATAATTGATGAACCTACACTGACACATCATTATTACTCAGAATCCATAGGTTACACTAGAGTTCACTCTTCATGTTGTATATTCTATGAATTTGGACAAATGTTTGACATGTATCCATCAGTATAGTATCAAACAGAAAAGTTTCACTGTTCTAAAAATCCTCCTGCTCTGCTAATTCAATTGAATTCAATTCAATTCTATCCCTCTACCCTTACCACTGGCAACCAGGAATCTTTCATTGCATCCGTAGTTTGCTTTTTCCAGAATGTTATATAGTTGAAATCATACAATGTGTAGCCTTTTCAGATTGACTTTAATATTCATTTAAGTTTCCTCCATGTCTTTCTATGTCTCAGTAGTTCATTTCTTTTTAGTGCTGAATAGTATTTCATTGTCTGGATGTACCAGTTATTTAATCCATTCACTTATTCAAGGATATTTTGGTTGCTTCTAAGTTTGGGCATTTATGGATAAAGCTGGTATAGATAAACATCTGTTGTTACGTACGTGTAGGTTTCTGTGCAGATATTAAGTTTTCAACTCCTTTGAGTAAATACCAAAGAGAGCAATTGCTGGATTATATGATAAGATTGTGTTAAATTTTGTGAAAAACTTCTAAACTGTCTTTAAAAATGGCTGTACCATTTTGCATTCCCACCAGCATTGAATGAGTGTTCCTATTGTTCCATATTTTTGCCAGCATTTAGTGCTGGTGTTTTGGATTTGGGCCATTCTAATAGGTGTGCGGTGATAATCCCATTGTTGTTTTAATCAGCATTTACCTGATGACCTACATTGTGGAGTATCTTTTCATATGCTTATTTTTCATTTGCATATCTTCTTTGCTGAGGTATCTGTTAAGGTCTTAGACCAATTTTTTAATTAGATTATTTGTTTTCTCATTGCTGAATTTTAAAAGTTCTTTGTATATTTCAGGGTTTTTTAAAAGTATTTATTTATTTATTTATTTGACAGAGAAAGAGAGCAAGAGAGCACAAGCAAGGGGAGCAGCAGAGAGAGAGGGAGAAGCAGGCTCCCTGCCCAGCAGGAAGCCCCATGTGGGGCTTGACATGCAGAATGAGGCAAGGCTCCAGGCCAGGCTCAAGGTGGGGCTTGACACAAGACCCTGGGATCACAATCTTAGCTGAAGGCAGAGACGCTTAACTGACTGAGCCACCCAGGTGCCCCAGGATAACAGTTTTTTATCATTTATGTATCTTGCAAATATTTTTTTTCCCCAGTCTGTGGCTTGTCTTTTCATTCTCTTAACAGTGTGTTTCACAAAGC